TCCACAGCTGAGGAGAGATTTGAATCCAGGCCTCCTGAAGCTTAGTCCATCATAGCGAGTACCAACATTCTTCTCCTTTGTTCCTGCTGTTCTGTCTCTTTTGCCTCCTTTCAAGCTGTCACTGAGATGAGGAGCAAGAACTTCTTCCCACCTAGGGAATTTTCCCGTCGTCGTTTAGTCGTTTAGTCGTTTAGTCCCCTCACAACATAATTTCATCTCTCTCTTCATGTTTTTTTTTTTTGGGGGGGGGGAGAGATTGTGCTGATGCACACTTACACTTCTTTATTTTGCTCACTTGAATAATATGGCAGCAGATTGGAAGAGACAGAGTAAATCAACACACTCCCTCACCCCACCCCAGGTTTCTGGCATAATGATGGACAGTTGTCCAAAACGTACTTAAGCTTGAAAACAGTTTGTAAATGCATGGTGATTTATAGACATTGGCTTAATTAGAAATTTGACTTTGCTGCTACTAAAACTGGCAACCAAAAGGACTGATTACCATGCAGGGCATCTCAGCTCAGGGCATCGAACACCCCCACTCCACCACATGGCTGAGCCATTGCCCTACTGCATCTACCATACATTGAAGGCCTTTTAAAAAGCCAAAATGCCCTGTCCATGCAGTGCATGCTGCCAGAGGAGAAATGAGTGAAGGGAGTCACCGTCTCTGAACCAAGGAGTTGCCCCTCTCTGCAACCCTAGCCTCTTTTCTTGTATGACATTTCCAGGGAGATGATCAACAGGGCAATCTCTCAATTCATCCATTTCAGAACACAGGTGACTTCAGAGACCACCTTTCCCACAACTATTCAGTTACAAGGACTTTTCTTAGGAACTTCTCTAGTATCATCTGGCCCAATAAGAAGCAAGATTTTAAAAAGATAACAGCCTGGTAAAAATCTAGAGCATTGGCCTCATTTATTAAGGAAGGTAACATAGTGAGATATTCTGTCTGAGGGGCCAAAATGGCATGGGTGGTTGACCCTTTCAGATTTTGTGGACTTCCACTCCTGGAATTCACCCTGAATGCCCCAGACAGAATTCATGGAAGTGGAAGCCCTAAAACTGATCCTGCAGAGGAATTTTCCATACTTCCATTGTTTTCCACAAGTTTTAAAGTTCCTTGAAAAACAAGGAAACTGCCCCAGTGATCCCTGGCAGCCACAAGACTCCATGGGTGCAGTAGCCTTGATGCCATTAGGCTCTACAAAGGAAACCTCCCACAGAACTAACCCAGCCAGGGAGCCTTGAGACTTCCGGGGATCACTGGGCAGTTTTCTTGATTTTTCAGAGGAGAAACATGTGGACAATAACAGGCATACAAAAAACCTCTTCTATATGTATCTGCTTACAGCCTTCTACTCCTAGAATTCAGCCCGGGGCTTTTTGGGCAAAAGAGCGAGACTCTAAGAAATCCAAAAAGTCCTATCCCTAATAACTTTCCTGGCTTTGGGTACTCTGTTCACCTTGATTTGGGTGGAGGAGGCAGCAAAATGTTGTGGAGTGATTGTCATTTTTTCAAAGGTTCATCGCACTTCTTTGGAGATTTCTGATATGGCTTTATTTCCTCTGCAGTCCCTGGTTTATCTTAACTCTGTCAGTGTTTTCTTCTGCAATTGCAGCATGTTAGAAAGATAGGGGACTAATTTTTACCTTGTAAACCACTTTTGCTGGCTGGATAATTTAGTGAGTTAGGTAGCCAGCTGCAGAGTCTGTGGATGAGTTTGATTACTTGCTATGCCTCCAGGAGAAAAGCCCTGGGCAAACTACAGAGTCCCAGAAGGGAACGGTAAAGCACTGCTGGGTACTCTCTACCTTAAAAACCCTGAAAACCATAAGTCAGAATTGACTTGACACTTATTTTAAGCCACTCTTTCAAGCCCACAGTGATTTGAGAGTGACCAGAAGCATACTTCTTGAATAGAGATGGGAATGAACAAGAAAACTGGCTAGCCAGAAACCACAAGCCATAAACCACTACAAACCTGCAGCAAAACGTAACAGTCTGTGGTTCATTTTTCCAGTCCATGCCTACCTGCGCCTGCCACCTCTGCCACCATGGGTGCATGCTCAGAGGCTCTTGGCAAGGAAGCTGGGCCTGCTGTCTCTGAGGATGGCACCTGCAGCAGTGGCAGGAGCAGGCAATGGGGGCAGTGGGAAGAGGGTGCCTAAGGGGGCCCTACCTGCGCCTGCCACCTCTGCCACCCATGGGTGCATGCTCAGAGGCTCCTGGCAAGGAAGCTGGGCCTGCTGTCTCTGAGGATGGCACCTGCAGCAGTGGCAGGAGCAGGCAATGGGGGCAGTGGGAAGAGGGCAGGTGGACATCCCCCCCCTTTGCCAGAACAAATGGAAGTCCAAAGGGAAAGAAATCTGGCATTTCTGTTTTGCTTCAGCAAAATGGGATCCCAAACTGGGTTGTAAAACATGCCACAAGCCAGCCGGGTTCTTTTGTTTGTGGTTCATTTTATGCTCTATTCTTGGACTGTAAAGTTATAAAGGATGAACGGAGATGACAATAAAAACCACAATAATATGATGATAATAGTGTGGCCTATTTCACAGAATTTAGTAGAGACAAGTGAAAGAGTGTCTCCTTTACTCAAATGCAAGCCCAAATTACGTTGCCAGGTAAGCATGTTTTATAGGTGAAACACAAGCTAAGATACTGTTCTCCTAGGGCAGGATTCTCAAACCCATTTTACCTGGGGTCCCCTGGAGGCAGAGCCTGGGTGAGGCTGGGCGACATTTTCTACCAAGCACAGCAAGAGCCCGAGGAAGCCACCCAGGAGTTTCCTTAGCCCAGCTGGGGCTCCGAGGAGGAGGAGGAGGGGCACGCAAGCCCTTGTCACTAGCCATAACCCCCTCTGGCTCCTTCTTCAGTACCACCACCAGCAGCAGCAGCAGGACAAAGAAGCAGAGAAGGGAGGGAGCAGCGGCGACCGCCTACCCGGGGGGGGGGAAGGAGGGCATGACATAAAATTTTTAAAAACCCTCACAGAATTTGCCTTGCCAAAGGAGAAAAGCCCCCCCCCGTACACGCGAAATTAAACAGAATGGGGTGGGGCCCCCACAGGTGCACTCATGCGCGCGCACACACAAACACACACAGAGGTCCAGCAACCTTCCTCCGAGGGCCACCCTCAAAAAAAGGCACACTGAACAGCAGCAGCTACCCCCACCACAACAGAGGAGCAAACTTTGTGAGGTGAGCCCAGGCAGCCTCCAGGGCCAAGGCAACTGAAGCAGGATGAAGAGGAGGAGGAGGAAGAAGCATTGCTGGGCGCTGAGGCGGCCGCTGGCCAGGCTGGTGCTGGGGGTGCCCAGAGAGAAAGAGAGTCACTGCCTTGGAAGAGGCGGTAGCGGCAGCTGCTGTTGGTGGCTTGGAGGCGCTCTTTCGAGGATGGGCCGGGAGTGAGCTCCACTCTCAGGCATCGCTCAGCGGAGGCTTGGGCACTCGGGGAAAAGGGCTGGCAGCGTGCCTCGCTCGCCGACTCTCCCCAAGACAGCGCCTCTTGCACCCTCCATCTGGAACTGCAGCCTGTCAGCCAGCAGACAGGCTGGCTGGCAGGCTGCAGTTCTGGATGGAGGGTGTAAGAAGGCGTGGGTGCCTCGGGGGGCAGGCAAGGCAGGGTCCACTATCATCCAGTGGACCGCAAATGGCCCGCAGGCCATGTGTGTGAGACCCCTGTGCTAGGGGGGACCGCAAATGGCCCGCAGACCATGTGTGTGAGACCCCTGTGCTAGGGGGTTGTTTAAAATAGTACACATGTGAAACTCAGTTTATTTTATTCATTTCTGCATATGCACACCCCTGTCACTGCAAAATGCACCTTGGAGTAACCAGCAGAGGATTTGGGAGAGGGAGGCAGGAAGGAAGGACGGAGGGAACGTGTGGTGGACAATTGTTGTAAGAAGCTTGGCTGCTTCTACCCCTTTAGGAATGCTTTTGCTGATCTCTGGGAGGTGGGGAGAAGGGGAGGACATGATCGACAAACAATGGGGATCCCAGGAAATGCTTGTGCCAGCTTTTCATGTGCGCTGCTGGGTCCACATTTTTATTTCTTTTATTTATTTCTTTTTATTTTTTCCCCACAGAGAGGGAAGGATGGCAGGTTGGTAGCCATGGAGGCAGAGGGGAAGGGGAGCTGGGGGTTGAATCTCATCCCTCCTGTGAGCTCCAGCTGCCAAGAATCCTCCACCCCTTGGAGCAAAGGAGGGGGAAAAGGGAAACCTAGCATTTTCCCTGGCTCCTGAGGCAGGAGGTAGGGGGGTGTGTCTGTGGCATAAAGGGGAGGGCTACAGGGAGAAAAATGTGGGAGAGAAGCACATCCTGACCAGAATGTGCCCTAGAATGCAACCTATTTATTACCAACCCATCTCTGTTTTTGTTGGGGGGGGGAGAGAAGAGACCCAAACACACAACCCCACACAGGGACTCCTGTTGCCGGCCATCTCCCAGGTGCAAACGCAATGTGTGTGTGGCATAAAGGGGAGGGCTACAGGGAGGAAAATGTGGGAGAGAAGCACATCCTGACCAGAATGTGCCCTAGAATGCAACCTATTTATTACCAACCCATCTCTGTTTTTGTTGGGGGGGGGAGAGAAGAGACCCAAACACACAACCCCACACAGGGACTCCTGTTGCCGGCCATCTCCCAGGTGCAAACGCAAACAGCATCTCAACTAAGTTACATGATTTTGAATCAAATCCATTTAGAATGGAGCTTATTGGGGGTCAAATGTAAATGCAGATAAGTCCTGAGAATGTATGTAAAATGATTTCCGTGCCTAGAACTGCAGCATAAATGTTCCTTATTACAGAGCTTCAGGGAAAGATGTTGGTGCAGGCTGTTGACAAAGCAGGAAGGCAGAGGGGAAGAAGCAAGCCAAACAGGGAAGAAAGGGCCTAAGGGGCATGAACATTGAGATCAGAAGGAATTTAGGTCAGAAGCAGACACAAGAGAATCCCATGAGTGGAAGGGGAAAATTCTTACCAAAATCAGCATTTCAGTGTCATAGCACAAGCTTCTTTCACCTGTAAGAAATGCAAATTAATATGCTTTGACTGATTATTGGACTGAAGCACAGGATTCCTTTTCTAAATCTGGTTTCACAATGCCTCAGTCACTTCCATGCAACTTTAATTTGCTTTGAGCTTTAATTATGTGCTGTCTCTAATGTCTGCTTTGGCCTAAAATATTTCAGTTGAAGAGGTCTGTTCTTATCTTCCTATGGTAATCTGGTTTTATTTTGAAAAATGCCAGTGTGTTAATGACCCCAAGAAAAGGGCAATGAAAGATTAAAGAGTACAGTTTCAACAAGATTTCAAGTTGTTAAAAAAAATACCTTCCGCTTAAAAATAAATCATACTTTTATTTGTATTTTTAAAGTTTTAAGACAAGTATCTGGAAACATAAAGCTTCATATTTTCCACCCTTCCCTTTTATACCATTATAGGCTGAACCGATATTTCTAAAAAGCAGTTTAAAAACTTATTCTAAAAACACAGTTGTAGACTTAATTTTTTCCCTTTTGACGTTCATATGCCAAGATTCAACCTAGGGCTTGTTTATAGCTGTATTATACACCCTGAAAAATAAGAAGCTTATATTATTATGATAATATTGAGAGTCCTTCTACCTATCGTGGTATGAATGGAAAAGGGATATAATAATAATGTCCATAGTGTGGAAAGAAACAGCAGCAAAAAGTGAAGGAGCCCTTACTCAGCATGAGAAATTCTATATATCTTGGAAGGCTTTCCCCAACCTAAACATTATTGCTAAGAAAGGAATAAACAGTTTAAACTGCTATTGCTATTCATCCAGGGCTCACACACCAAGGGATACACAAAGCTGCTCTCTGAAAGCTGAAGTGAAATATTCCAGACATAACTCTTTCTTACTTGGAGCTGAGCAGACTTTTGAACAGCTATTTGAAGAGTAGTTAGAGAAATCTTCCCCACCTCCCTGCTTGGGGAGAGCTTTCTAAAGTGATGTGATTGGTAATATTCCCACACAGAGAGAGCTGAATCTGTAGCCACAACTACTCCCTTGTACAGCAAATATTATTATTCCAGTCAGATACTGTTTTTGTTTTTGTTTCTTTATAAGGCGGGAAAGGAAGCAAACAGGTTGATAGACATATTTGGATCACTCAACCTTATATCCAGGCTCATGGATGATTGTTGCCTTTGATAACTTGTCTAAGCAGGAGGGAAGCTGGGACCTAGAAGTAATGCTGCTTTTCATAACTCTCCTGCAATGACAAGTACATTATCAAGTACATTTCTAGCAGATGAAACAGTGCATGTGCAGAGTGGGTTCTTATATGCAGTATATGTCAGCCATACCCATTTACTATAGGAAGATGCCATTTTTAAAATCAAGATATTGAGCCATTTAGTTCAGTATTGTTTGTACCCGCAGAGGCAAGCTGCAGCCTGTGGAACTCATGTGCACCCAAGACTTTTCTTGCTGCCCCATCAAAACATTTTTTCTTGGGCTGCCAAACCACTAAATGGGCTGCTTACTTTAATCATGTTTTGACATTATAACTTCTTGTTTGATCTTTTTTATATAGAGAGAAGTGATGGGAATTCAAATTGAAAGACCCACACTTACAGACACCTACATTTTGCTCACTCTGCAGCAATGTTCCATCTAATTTTCAGTCCCACCAGGCAAGCCTCTACCCCTCGCATATGTGACTCTCCCTCGTGTGGGGTTCCGTCACAACTGGGAACTAAAGGGGCTTAGGACAATCGCTGTGGGTGTGCAGAGGAGCAGGGGCCCTGTGCAGAGGGAAGCAGAGTCACATATAAGCAGGCGCACACCTTAGAGGGAGCCTTGCTCTGTGGCTCTACGGTATTGCTCTGGCTTTGCTTCCTTTTTGCAATGAGGAAGCTGCTTCCTGGGCATGTTAGTATTGCTACCCTCCAGGCTCTATTTTTAAAATTATTATTTAAAAAAATGGTATGTTATCAGTCACAAGTAAGTCTGGAGCTAGACCATGCTGCTTCAAATGGGGGTCCTGGTCCAGATGAGAGAAATGTAGGTGTTCATAGGTGCTTGGACTTCCAGAACAACTGTATTTCCCCTGGTTTTCATTCCTTAAAATGCCTATGTTCTGCCATAACATTGATATATTGTTGCATCTACATGCCATTTAACACAGTTACAAACTAAAGATGAAAATATTACCCGTTACTGTATTTGCCTACTATTTTTATATAAATCTGACACTCTGGCATGTTCCCTCAACTTACTGAGGAATATGTGGAGAAGAATTAAGCACAGGAAGGTTCTCCCCCTCCCCGAATTCATTTGCACAGGATGAGATAGGAACAGAGATGCAAGAGAAAAGTACAGAATAGATGACAGTAATTATTATGCAAATTTTAATTCTTGTAATAGAGTGTCATAAAAAACAGAATGGGTTTCTACAGAATAAAGTCTAAAGGGTGTTTGTTCTTGTGGATAACAACTCCTATCAAAGACTAACAGCCCTATTTTGGTCTTGCAAACAACACCATGGCCTCCTTTATTAAAGTAGTTCATATCCTATTCAGTTTTTTCCCCTACAACTCTCTCCTCTTCAGCTCTTCCAAGGATTATTCTATTTTCCAGTATGTTTTATGATATATCCAAAGTACCCTAATTTTTGCTTCTAGAATGCTTGATTTGTTTATTTATTTATTTTATTTATTTATTGCATTTATATGTCGCCCATCTAGACATAGTCTACTCTGGGCAGCTCACAACAGCTCTGTTCCAGGACCCACTTCATCATTTTCCTCCACTCCAATTCCACATTTCCAATGAACTGACATATTTTTTCCTGTCACACTTGTTCACTGTCCAGCTTACAGTTGTATACAAGGCAATCTGGAATACCATAATACAGATGATCTTGGTCTTGATGTCCTGTCAGTCACCTTTTAAATTGTTGACTGAACCAAGGTCCAGAAAATCTTTAATTATTTCAATTTCATAGTTGTCCACATTAACATTATAGCATTTATCTGTAGTCCTCATTTTTGTTGCATTAACATTCAACTGTAATCCTGTTTTTGCATTTTAACCTTCTTTAGTAGTTGTTGACACCACAGTAAACAATATAACGTCTGCATATTTAAAATTACTGATGTTTCTTTCACTGATTTTATTCCCCCTTCATCTGAATCTAACCACAGTAGTTGTTTGACACCACAGTAAACAATATGACGTCAGTTTCTTTCACTGATTTTTATTCCCCCTTCATCTGAATCTAACCACCTTTTTGTATGATGTGTTCTGTGTATATATTGAACAGATGGAAAGATCAGGGCAGACTTTTTATCCAGATATTATTTATTTGTATCTAAATTTTTCAAATAGTCTTGATGCTTTTTGTCTGAATGTCAGTGAAAAAAATGAAGTAGGAACAAGTTAGAGTAGCAAATCATTTCTGCCAAAAAAGCTGATGCTCTGCTGAGATCCTGTACTGGAACTATAATTTTTGTCTACAAGATAATGCTTTAACAAAAAATAAAAAAATAAAAAACAAAGCAAAACAAACAAAACCCACTTTCTGGGTGTCTCCCCCATTCTGCCAAGCCACACCTATAAGCCAAAATAAGCAAAATAAATAAATAAATAAAAAACCAACAAACCTATGAAAATCAGAGCTTGACTCAAGCCAAAAACAGAGGAAGGACAGAACAAATCTATACAAATAAATAATTAACTAGCAATCTGAATCCATTATGGCCCAAAATGTACAGGAAATAAGAAAAGTCAGGAAGCAAGGAAGCTGGCAAGAGACCAAGCCACTATTTATGCTTACATTTTCTGAAAACTGATCCTTACCAACGAAGGCCTGATAGACTGCCTAAAGGCCTCTGATCTTCACCGCCCTACTTGGGCCCTAAGCTCCAGAATAGCAGCTGTAAAAGTTGTTCCAATGTAAAAAAGTTTGCACTAGAAAAGAGTAGAAGCTCAGGTTAACACCAGTTTAACTCTAGTCCCAAACTAATTTTGTGTGGAAGGAAGGCTCTAACATGCTTAAATAATGGGCGTTAGAGTCATAGACAGAAAAGGCCATCAGAAGATAAAGGCTGATGTCAGTTGAACAGTTGAACAATGAATAAATAAACAGTTTGCCCAAGCCCCTCTCATGAGATTGGACTGTCAAAATAAAGAACTTGATTAGAAAAAATGTTAATCAGGTCATCAATGGCTGCAGCAGTTTTTCAGAGGGGGGGAAGAATCCCTCCCACCCCTGACATTCTGAAGGTTCCCATTAGATCTTTTTCCTCAAGGGGACGTGGTGGCAGGCTGCAGGAGGGCTAGAGGAGGTCTTTAATGTTCAAAACTTGGTGTCACTAGTAAAATCATCCTTACAGTGGCAATTTTTGGAAACAAAAGACCCTTTTTTTCCCTGCAGCCCTCAACAGTTTCCCCACAATGAAAGGGACCCCTTGGCAAGCTTAGGACCTTTGAAGGGATCAGAAATGTTTTATTTCTGAAAAATGTGCTGCAGTTGATGGTGTCATCTGCCTTACAGAATTAAGTTATGGAACAGGATTTCAGCCGTGGTTTCAAATCTAGGGAAGCAAATGCACTGGAAGTTCCACAGTACAGCTTCCAGCCTCCTGCATCTCAGGGAATACCAGAGGCCTAGCATCAGAACCATTAGGAAGTCCTTAGTGACCCTGATGTTATGATATGGTGTCAAGTCACCTTCAACCTGTGCTGCTCTTATGAATTAATGACTCGCAGAAAATCTTATTGTTAGCAGTCCTATTCACATCTTGCAAACGAAAGGCCATGGCTGCCTTTATTGAGTCAACCCAAGATCTTACTCATTGGAAGGACATATCCTGAAGCTGAGGCTCCAATACTTTGGCCATCTCATGAGAAGAGAAGACTCCCTGGAAAAGACACTGATGTTGGGAAAGTGTGAAGGAGAAGGCGATGACAGAGGACAAGATCATTGGAGAGTGTCATCGAAGCTACCAACATGAATTTGACACAACTCCAGGAGGCAGTGGAA